CCCCGGCCCCCTCTCGCCCTGGCAGCTCTCCAGCCGCTCCTCCCCAAGGCTGTAGCGCTGCTGGGGGTTGTTGTGGCCGAAGTGCAGGACCCGGCACTTGGCCTTATTGAAACTCATGGGACTGGCCTTGGCCCAGTGATCCAGCCTGTCCAGATCCCTCTGGAAAGCCTCCATACCTTCCAGCAGATTGACCCACCCAGCTTGGTGTCATCTGCAGACTTACTGAGGGTGCACTCCATCCCCTCATCCAAATCACTGATGAAAATGTTAAACAGGAGCGGCCCCGGTATTGAGCCCTGGGGGACACCACTCATGACCGGCCGCCAACTGGATTTAACTTCTTTGGCCACAACTCTTTGGACTCAGCCATCCAACCAGTTTTCCACCCAGCAAAGCGTATGCCCATCCTTGCCAAGAGCAGTCGGTTTCTCTAGGAGAATGCTGTGGGCAACAGTGTCGAATGCCTCACTAAAGTCAAGGCAGACAACATCCACAGCCTTTCCTTCATCCAACAAGTGGGTCAACCTGTCACAGAAGGAGATAAAGTTTGTTACTTGATAGGGAAACTACTGCTCCTCTAGCTAGTTCTGGAACCTTAGTCTTGTAGAGACTGCAGCTTGTGAGTGTCCCAGTTATTCAGTTCTCCTTTAGCAGCTGGCTGACTAGAGGGCAGGAAATATTGATGCCATGGAAGAGAGAGGAAGCCCCAGGATGTCTCTCTGTAATACTTTGTGTTTTGTTGTTGCACACCAGCATGATTCTAGCAGGGCTGACCTGCCTGATATCCCTCTAATCTGTTACCTCAGGTGATGGAGGCTTAGCTAGCATGGACTAGTTTGGCATGGACTCTTTATCATGTTTCTGTGGGATGTGTTGAGCCTTTTTTGCTGATACACGTGATTTTAAACTAACCAGATTAAAATGAGGCATATCCTGAAATTACTAAAGATGGAAAAGAATCTGTCACATGTTTGTTAGTGACGGGTGCGTGACACTGTTTGTTCACTGTCACTAATAAGCAGACTTGAAAGTGATGATTTAGCCTTTTCATTGTTGAGAGACCTTAGTAATGCTTATTTAACCTAATCTGAGCTCAAAAATGCAGGCTTGGACCTTGAAAGCTGTTAATGAATAAATCTATAGTATGAAATAGATTTCAAGGAAGTTATTTGTTTATTTGCTTTTTCCCTGTGTCCTGTGAGCCCTATTTATTATGTGTTAACCAGTGTTGCTATCCGTATCAATAAATGTAAACGACAAATTCTCTGCGTTGTATTTGTACTGCCTGCCATGTGCAGTTTTATAAATGCACTGCTATACTTGTTACAAGAATGTGTCTGGGTATCATTGATGTTGTCATCCTGTTGTCTCTGAAGTTAAATGCATGAAGCTGTTACCAGTAGTACTATAAATGCTTCATAATTATAATATGAATCTAATGTGTTTTGTGAATTTGCACATTTTTATATTAACTATGTTTTATGTGTGTTTACAGTTGATTATATATCATGTAATTAATCTCTCTTTTTTTCTTTTTTAATAGGCAACACATTTCCAGCACTGGACAAATTTTTTATTTGTGTTTCAATTTATTCTTTCCTGCTTGTTGGGGTAAGCACACAGCCAATCAAGTAACACTTTTTAATGACAGTGTTTCAAACTGCAAATCTCAGATGTAAGACTCGTTAATAAGTTATGTTAGAATTCACAGAAAATACATCTTGCCCCTAGGCTTCTCTTGTCTTTTAATTATTTCTAATACTGTAAATGACTGTTTCAGTACTACCTGTGTTGTTGACCTAACAGTACAGTGGTCAACAATGTGATGTTTCACTTTTGACTTTCTGTACTTAGTATCTTTCTCCTGGCTGTCTCTTCTGATTTTCTAACTTCTTTGCAGTTAATAATGAGCCCTTTACTGTAGGAACAGTTTCAGCATATTTGTTCTTTAAAGTACCTGGAAAAGTATGGGAGACTCAAAAGTAGTGAAACAATGCTTTGTTCCTGATGGAACTGCAGCGTCAAAGGAAGAACAGAAAAAGTGAGTTGGATTCTGTTCTGCTGTTTCACATGTCACCAACCAGTGGGTCAAACTAACTTCAAATACTAACATTTATAAAGCACAGAGAATAGGGATGACTCTGCTAGAGCTCAAGCTTCACATTCTAAGCTGTATTTTGAGTACTCTGTACACACACATTGTTGACTTAAAAGACCAGAAAATATTTTTTTAGGGTTTAGAACAGGTGGGTTTGAAGATCTCAGTAAAATACTGATGTAGAAAATATTGAACATTTCGAAGTGTTGCATAAACTTCTGAGCTCTCTGGGTGGAATTCATAGATTTTTCTCCTTTACTTTATTTAGGTTTCTCTTGATGTATTCCACTGTCTTATGCAGTCATTACAATTCTGCGCTCACGACAACAGTTGTTGGTGCCATCAAGGTGAGTTATGGAGCAGAAGAGGAAGATGAGAATGCTCAAATAGACAGGGAAGAACATTGACTCAGCAGTGATCCTGGTTATACTTTGAGCTGAAAGCTCAAAATGAGGACTAGTATTGAGACACTGCTTTTGCCAAACAAAGTCGCAGCACAAAGTGAGCTTGTTTTCCTCAGCTGAAGCTCTGGTATACTCTAGAAAACAATGTGATTATTGGTTTATTTTTTCTACAAGAGAAACTTTAACCGCTTTAATAACTAAAGATGTACATTTAAGCACATTTCATCAGGTACTGTCACTTGCATTTTTTCTTTATCAGGTTAGCGTGGGTTAGTCAAGGTGGCCTGGTGCAAATCCATTGCAAACTGATAGAGACTAACTTACAGCACAGCAAAATCCACAAAAGGGAGATGGTACTTCTTTTTCTACAGTTATTTGGGTTTCGGGATTTTTTTTTGTTGTTTTTTTGAAAGCTGATTAATGTAGTAGTTTTCATTCTGTGGCCCTGAAAGCATTCTTCTAAGTTTTATATGTCTGCACTGAACCATTAAGACACAGCAACACTATTTCTATTCTCTTTGTGGTAATAGTCTTAGAGACATTCTGAACAGCTTTGAAGTTGAGAAGCACTTTATGATACAGTAATCTCCAGTAGAAACTTGTAGAAATGGTGTCATTGTCTAGGCTAGCTGCTAAAGCATTTGAAACCAACAAGGTGTTAGTAAGATGATGACACAATCCTGTAGCTTTCCTTCTGTCTGTAGGGGTTAATTTTCACAAAACTTGCTGGAGGCGGGGTGAGAGGTAGAAGCTTTAAACTGTGCCCATGTTGAACTAGAGCCAAGTGCTTTGAGTGCAGATTTCACTGGCAAAGTAAGGAGGCAACTGTTTTAAAACAGTAATAAAGAGCTTTTATTGTAACTTTAAAGCATACTTTTTAAGCTTGAGAGCCCCAGACCTGCTTTTCAAGAAATGGGATTTGAAAGGAGCCTTCCAAAGTTTAAAAAGAAGTAAATTTTCAGAAGGTGTCTATAGCTCCATTTTGCCTAATATCAAATAGCCGGTCTTTTTTATTTTATTGCTGTTGTTTGTTTGGTTTGTTTGTTTCCAGAAAGTCACTTCCAGCGCACTGCATGCCTTCAGAAAACATACTAATTGTAGTGTTTTATTTTGTTGTTAAGTTACCCATTAGGCTGACATCCTGTAAAAATAATTCAAAAGGCTGATTTTAGAGTGGCCAGCAACGGAGTATAGCTATTTCCTTAGAAAAGTAAATTAATAGATATACTTTATCAATTATATGGAATACGATGTGAAAACTGACTTCAGTAAATGCCTATCTTTTGTTTCCTTTCAGAATATATCCATTGCTTACATTGGCATGTTGATTGGTGGAGATTACATATTCAACATGTTAAACTTCATAGGGCTAAATATTTGGTGAGTGGAACTTGAATAGCCTTTATTTTTAAAGATGTCTCAGCGAGAAGTTTCTCGGCGAGGTGGAGTTCTGTATTTTGTTTGATCTGGCTCACTTCAGTGATGCCATTTTAAAACTACTGGCTTGATGAAGCACTGCCTCAGGATGTATAGTTCATTGCAATTAGTTACGTCTTTTCATGTCTATTTTCAAGGCTTGAATCTTAATGTAGTAGGATCTTAACCATAGAAACAGGCTTGCAATTTTACTATGTGTGATTGAGTTAATTCTTTTTTTATGAGCAGCAGTGCTGAACTGTGAGGCTTCCAAATAAAAGCCAAGTGCTTTCACTTCCTACATCAATTCAATGTGAGATATAACTGTGTGGTTTTACTTTTTGTGCTTAGATCTGTTACATCTGTCTGTATGAGTCTGTTGGAGCAACTGATGATTGATCTTTGTCTGGTTAGGCCTCATTTCTCAGATGACTTACATAGCTCTGAGGCACTCCTAATTTATGCTAGCTGATACTCTTTAATCCTTTGGTAGGAAAGGTACGTACCTATAAAATGGTATATACAACATCAGGTATCTCTGACACCTGTGTTCCTTCTCTTTTCTTTAGTATGGCAGGAGGACTGAGATACTCATTTTTAACCTTAAGAGGAAACAGCAAGCTTGTGCAACCTGGGGATGAAGAGAATGCACTTCCTGAGACAAAGAGTTAGCCAAAATGCTTGTCTTGAAAGAGACTGAAGATACAAGTTTGTTTAGCACTGCTGAGATCTTAAATGTGTATGCTGGAACATAATTGGAACAAGAAAAAAAATCTACCTCAGTTGCTGCAGATGTGCACACAATTCATTGGTTTAGAAACATTCTTGCACACCATTTTTTTTAACATCTGGACAAGTTTAATTTTAGCTTGTTTTTACACCACAAACTTAACTGATAGGATGGAATGCCATGAGCAAGTCTCAGGTTGTACGTTTCTTCAGTTATCCGTACTTTGGTGCTATTTGTGATCTGTGAGTTCTGTTCCAGTGTATGCCAGTGCTCTCTGGAGCACAACTCCCTGTAAAAATCGTGAGACTTGATTCACCAATGCCTTACGCAATATGCAATCTTTGATACCAGTGAAGACATGAAAGACGCTAATGATTTAAAATGGTTTTATGTATGTGTTTGCTCTTTTGTAAGTGATGTGAGTGTGTGGGGTGAAGAGGAGATGTGCCCCCACGTTATTCCCTGTCTTAAGTCTTGACTGAAGAACTCAGGCCTAGTGTGATTGGTATTCATTGCATAGGTATTCTCTTTCAGTCTTCCCCCATCCTCAGTAACATTATGATGTTCTGCTGCGATTGTCACTGTAGTTATAAATGAGCCCTCATAATTTTGCTGCAGGATCGAGGAGAGAAGGAAATTGAGGGAAAATTTTTTAATATTTAAAAAGATTTCTTTATGCATGAGTCAGTACCAAACAGATGATTAGGAGACATAACAAAGGTAAATCTATTTTTGCTTAGGTACGTGCATCTTTTTATACCACAGTCCCCTCCTCTGATGTTTTATTTGTAACTTTTAATGCTGCAGAAAAGTGACGCTACCGTGGACAAGTACAAGAGGGGAAGCTGGTTGATGTATGAAAGACACCTGTGTTTAAATGAGGAGAAAGGATCAGTGTCTTGTTCTGTCTTACGTATACAATGAAAGCTTACCTGGTGTTAGCTTATACTTAAAATTCAGAGCAAAGAACTGTAACAAATCCAAGGAATGGTTACAGTGGGTAAGGCTGATCCAGTGGTTAAGGGAAAAGGTCCAGACTGTGGTGATCCAGGTTATCATCTGGGGCAAAAATGGCACTTTTCTGTATCTTTATTTCCTTTTCTGAAAATATGGTTGATAATGTTACTGGTGTCTCTGAGGATATAGCAATAATCTTTGAAAACACAGTAAAAGAATTGCAGTGGTGGAAGACAGCAAAGTAATTAATCTTCTTGAAGTTCTCAATTCTCTGCAAGTGCAAATGAACCTTTTAAAAAATAGAAGATTTTGGAAGACCCTGACATGGAAACAGGATGGTCTAATGACTTCTTTGATCCCTGCTTGAAAAATACAGCTAAATCTGAAAAGCATTACTCTTTGTGTATGTGGATCACCGGAATGGATTCGATCTAAGAAACATGTGAGCAGCTCATACCAGAAGATTCAAGAGAGTGACTGGACTGCCCACTGCCTTTGTGGATGTGAATGGCAAGAGGAGTGGTGACTGCAGAGACTAGAAGTGCAATTTAAGGGCACAGTCAAAATGGAAACAGAAGTCTGAGCTATCCAGTTTCTCACAGCTGCCTAAGAGATGTGGCTTTTATTTGCTGCCTGTTGAAGAGCCAGAGAGGGAAGGGGTTGCTGCAGATATTTTAGGGATCTACTGTTTTTAAAGATTTCCTTTATACTTAAAAAGCCTTCAGTATTTTTGAGTATATTCTTTTATAGGACTTCTCTTTCTCCAGATTATCTCTACCTCCAAAATCTTAATTATTAAACCTCAACACTCTGCAGTGGGACAAGACATTGGAAGATTTTCATTAATTACAAAAAGATTATGAGAGCCCTGTGATTGCAATACTGATGGACACACAATGACACCTGCTGAATAAGAAGTAGTTCCTGCAAAGGAACAGCTAGTATATGCATTAATTAATTAATTAATTAATTGGTATTTTCCTGTACCTTTTATAAATAAAGAAATACAGACTACAGTTTTAACAAGTTTTGGGGTTTTTTTTTGTGTGTGAACACGTAAAACGCTTTCAAGCACATATGCATAGTGTGACTATTTGCTTTCTCTATAATCAACTGCTATAGCGTACTTGAAGTAGTTTCCTTAGTGCATTCTTGACCATAGTGTAAGCGATCTTGTTTAATTTGTTGTTCATGTTATGTTTCTAAGGTGCTTCATCCTTAGATTTCTCACCTAAAATACGCACCTGATTCTCATAGTCTTTGTGATAGTATTACTAAGAGTCATTTAAAAATAAATTTAGGAATAATAAAAAATAGTAGCTACTATCTTGAAGAACTTGCAAGTCCTTGCAGCCGTTCACAAGCTCAGCTTCAGTCACGTACTGTTTGCTTCTCTATTTGCAGAGATAATGTTGATTACAGTAAATCTGCTGTTTGAAACCCTGGAAATATGGATTCCACCAGGCACAACTATGATGTCAGAATTTAGGCAATTACAGAAATGGCTATTTCATTCAGAACCTCAGTAGTTATGTCTTTCAGTTAATAAAGTAGTAATTTAAAACTAATTTCTCTTAGGATCCATCTGTAGATAGTCCTGACCTTACTTTCATACAGGTTTTATATTAGCTTAATGAAACGTTAAAACAGTTGTAAAAGTAGATGACTGATTTGCTGTGTGAAGCTTCATTTTCTTCTGGAAAAATTGTAAGAATGGTTAAGAGAAAGCATTAGTCTTCAGAATACATGTTTAAAAGAAGTAGTGGGCTAATTTTAATTCTGAACTGACTTCTGAAGTCACAGTGCATCACAGATGTGTCTTGTGGTTACATGCTGCTAGCTACAAAACTTGATTTCCAGAAGTCAGTCCAATATTAATTTCTGCAGGCAGCAAGGTGTATTTACAAGGCTATGTACAAAGAAACTTAGAAAAAGTAACTGGACTGGAAAGGAGTATTTTACTATACATTGATCTGTTCATACTCTTAATTTTATAGGGATTGCTTAGGGGTGGACTAGCTGTAATGGGGTGAGATTAAGAGAGAACAAATACAGTGGTCACCCAAAGCAGCTTTCTACCCATGCAATATATAAAATCCTTGCAGTGATTTCCTGTGGAAGTCAGAGAAGCAATACCTTGGGAAAAACACAGACTGGACTGGATGAGCAATTCTTCACATTCATAAGAATTTGTTGTTTTTCCTTTCAGTATGTAATTTACAGCTGTTAGGCCCATGAAGTACTCTAGGCATATCTCAGATCCGTTATCAGCCTCTGAAAATGAAAGTGGCAAGGGAGCATGGGCAGAACTGGAAGTATGAAAGAGAAGACACTGGAAGTTTGCATTTTCACTCTATCATCAAAGAGAAGTGATTTTTTTTTCCATTTGAAGGAGGTGTTCAGCATCATTGTTGCATATGAAAAACACAGTGCAACTCATTCAGATTTGAAGTATTCCTTGAGTAGTGACTGATTCCTTGAGGAATTTGGAATTGTAAATATTTTTGGAAACGTAGTATTGAGACCTTTTATGATTTGAGTAGCCGTTACTTGTTGGATAAAACAAAAGGCAAAATTTTAAGAGCGCTTATATATGAGGAATCTGGGTGGTTGTTAAACTAGGATGGTAATTTTTTTGTATCTTGCTGTTACAGATCGGTTAGTGTTACATTTCTTAAGATTCGAGCATCATCTTTACTCTAATGCATCTGCATATTATGATTTTCTGGCTGAAGGTGTCAGTTCCATGACACATAATATATAATTTGACTCTTTGGCTGGAGATTTCTGAGTATCAGAGGTTTAGAGATGAATTATGTTAAATTTGAAAGAATATAATGGAAGTATATGAACAAGTTTTGTTTTCCCTTCTCCTAAGTGCATGTGTAACTGTTTCTCTTGCCTAGTTTAAATTGATCTTTGAAAAACAGTATTTCAAATTGCCACTACAAAGGAGACTTAAAGTTATTCTGTGCCTACCATGAGAAATTCAATATATATTAACTTTTAAAATTTTTTTTAGTCACTTGAAGTCTGAATTTCATTGATTTAATCTCTGTCCTGCAGTGAGATACTGTTCCTGTTAGCACTTTTTCCACTCAAGATTTTGATACATGTCCTCAACTTTACATACTTTATTCAGTAAAACTGAAAATCATGTTCCCTCATTAATAGATGAAGTACTTGTTCATACCACAATTGCAGCATTTGTAAGATGTGTGTAGACATCTTTTCAGAAAGCTTGGTGAAAAGTTACAAAATACGCTTTGTGTAGAAGGAAGTAGGCAATTTTAGTATTTTTATTATTTTGTCTTCAAATTGGTAGATAAATCTCTTTTTCTGATGTCATTGCGAACTTGCCCTGGAAATGTCTGGGCTAGAGTTTAACTCTTTGCTGTAAGAAGTAGTGCTGATGTGTGTTATCCCCAAGGTTTCGAGTGTTCTTATCCAGGGTTTTGGTTTAAACACATTTTTAGTCCCTATGAGTCCTAAACAATAAAAATACATTTTTTTTTGCTGTTTCTGGGTAGTTTCAAGAAAAGGAGCGAAAACTTTCCTCTAAAAAAACCCACTAGAAATAATTGTTTAGTTTGAATTTTTTTCAGTGGTTTACAAACCTGAGTGTAATGTAGAGATGTTATTCTAATCTAAACCTTGGACATTCTTTAGGAGAAGAAAATCACGTGATTTGTTTAGTCTTCTCATTTCTCTGCCTGTGCTCAGACACTAGCAGCCTGCTGGAAGGAGGCATTTCCCAGGGTGAGAGTGACTGATTCTTACTAACTCACAGCCTTTGCTCGCCATGGAAGCACTGCTGCATCAGCTGCTCACTCTTATTGGGGGTCTTACCTGTTTCTGTACTCTGGTAAAATGCATCAGAGTTGTGAAATATGTTTTCCAACGTATCTGGAGTACTTTGCCTCAGTGTTTCTTTCGGTCGCTGGGAGAATGGGCAGGTAAAGGAAACTTCATCTTCTTCTTGTGACTGAGTGGTGGATTGCTACGTTACTAATGAGCAGTTTCACTTGTATTTCCTTAACCTATCCCTTAGAACAAAATACAGTTTCCACTAGGTGTGGTTTGCTTAATTCCTTTTTTATTTTCTCTAGTAACTCTATTTATGAGCCTGAAATTTTTGCATACTTGGGGAGAATGGAAAAATAGTCAAACTAGTTACAGCTCACGCACCTGATGTGTAGATATGAATTTTCTCATCATTCCTACTTTTTTTTTTCATACTGCATATGCTGTAGTTTTAGTAACATTGCCTATATCCTCGCTTTTCTCATATGTGAAGCAACTAGTTTCTATCTGGCATATGGTCTTCACTTTTCAAAGCAACTTTTCTTTACTCCCGGTGACATTGCTCCAGTGTGTTTTTTCAGATTGGTGAACTATCTTTAATGGTATCCTTAACGAGCCAAATCTACTCTTGTCTAAAAACTTCAAAGGCTGCAACTTGGCAGTACTTTTAAAAAGATGTTACACATTCTCTTAAAATAACAGAAATGTTTAATGAATGCTTTCTTCCTACTGATCATCAGTTTTTCTTCAGCTTCCTAGATAATCAGTATGAAGCAAGAATTACCAGGTACTACAGTTTCTGAGTTACTGGGCTATGGGTGTGACTGGTGATGGCATCTTGTTACGAACAGTATGCTTCTGCCTTATTCCTTTCCCCCCGCAGAGGCTTGATGTGACTGGATTGCATGTGTGTTTAGTAAGCACATCTGACAGTGGAGTAGTAAGAAATTAAATTGACCCTGATGCAGAAGACATGCTTGAATACCAGCTGCTTCTGAAGCAGTACGTAGGTCTCATTTGGATTTAAGAGAGGCAAAGACCTCCATTCTATGCCTGAGATGAGGAGCAGCATCTGGAACTTTCTGGGAGACTTGTTTCCTTTAGTGGACCTTTATGCTCTGTCCTTTTTGTAGACATAGTCTCCTGGGTCCAGTAAAATTCATGAGGTTCAGGTGATTTTCTGTTTTATGTGGCACATGAGATCCTGAGAATCTTGAAAATTAGAGTTGCTGGGTGGGAACTTGTTTCGCGGAAGACTTCTGCTTTTCACCTGCAGGTCTGATAGAAAACTAAAATCCACTGCTGCTTCACCGAGCAGTCTCTTTTCTCTGTGAAATGAGAGAGATCGTTCTTCTGTTGGCAGCAAACCTAATTAAAAATAATCTTGTTCCCGCAGTGTCTCTTGCAATTTAGAAGTCCTTAATCCACACTTTTTTCGATATTCACTAACGTTCCATTTTGCTCTGAAAAGTTAACAGATGTACGTTGGAAATGCTTTAGTGCTTTCCTACTTTATTTGTTTCTTCTTTATTTCTAAGGTGATAAAAGATTTTCTTTGTGTAGTTCCTCTTTGGTATTTGTTTACAGAACATTTAAAGTTCAGGGTGCTTTACAAAGGCCAAGTCTTGTTTACTTTCCCACTAACACTAAATCCAAGGTCCAGAGTAGGACAGCTCTGAAGGAAGAACATTTTATAGATGGTGGTAAGTTTACTTAACAACCAGATTTCTTGCGTGAGAAAGTGTTATACCAGCTTCGGACACCTGTTAGTCCTTATCTCTAACATTTTGATCCTAGCATATAGTTGAAAAACTTGAAAAGCAGAACTTTTAAGAATACGTATATGGAATAAAAGTCTTCCACCTCTTAGGCAACTAACTTGTTGCCTTGGCAATTACTTGCTTAAGCAATTGATTTGTTACTCAGTTTTGACCCCATTGAAAATGACAGTAGTAACTATCTACTGCATCAGATAGTTTACTGTGGGGAAGGATTTGCTTGGAAGACAAAGCTGGTAAATGAAGTAATAAAAAGATGGAAAGGTCAAAAGAAAGTAAATTTTGAAAAAGATTCTGTGTTTCAGTAGAAACATTTAGGCTGCAGTGTTCAAGAAATGCAGGTGGAGAAGATTAAAGCATTCAAGAAAGAGCAAGCTAGAGCAGAGTTCCAAATGTATTCCTTATTCTTGTTTCTGTTTTCTCCAGTGGTCACAGGAGCAGGAGATGGGCTTGGAAAAGCATATTCCTTTGAGGTAAGATTTACCCTTAAATTTATTTTAACAAAATGTCAATATTCCCCATTCATCAGTGTCTATAAGTTAGTAAAATTATTCTGGAATTCAAAGCTACTATGGCAAACATGGTGCTAATCCTTCTCCCTTGTATGTGCAGAATAGCATTAATCAAGTTCTGAATGGAAACTGGTGCTGCATTTCAGAGGAAAGTCATTCATGCCTCAATGGTCTCACCAGACCAGGGAAATAAAATGAGTAATCCAAAATAATTCATGTTGTCTGTCCAGGGTAGGAAGTATCCTAAATAGTCCTTTTCCCTTCAGTTTTGTAGCTAGTCTGCTTTTTGAATTTCAGTGGGATGGTCCAGCACTGGCATACAAAATGTAATTTTCTAGCCTTTACACTTGCAGACTTGAAAATATATCTGAAACAACAAATAAACGACAGATCTGTATAAATTAATACAAGCTACAAGTTATGAAAATTATAAGGGAACCTAGTGGTTTAATTAAGAATCAAGGACTCCAGGAGGCTACAGGAGGAGAGAGGAGCTCTGTGCTGTCCCTGTGCAGCATCGCTACAGTCCCTGTTGCTGCTGTGCAGAATCACTACAGTAGGCCAATCATTCGCCTGTGGTAATCAACAATGAGGGCTGGGAGGCCTTGTACTATTCTTGTACCAGCCTTGCTGTCAGTGATAGGGTGGAAGCCCCATCCCTGGAAGTTTTTAAGGCCAGGCTGGATGGGGCTCTGGGCGGCCTGATCTAGTGGAGGATGTCCCTGCCCATGGCACAGGGGGTTGGAACTAGATGATCTTTAAGGTGCCTTCCAACCCTGACAATTCTATGATTTTACAATTCTATGATTCTATGAATATTAAGCTAGTCTTTTTAACTGTATGCGTTGTTTAAGCACCTACCCCATGATTTTCATTGCTAGGAGTGGCAATACTGTAACTAGTTTTGAAAGTGCATTGAATCTAGGAAGCACAAAGAGAAATACCAGGTATTTCAGTTTAACGTTTGGCATAGTTGTGATAAAGATCACAAGCTGTCCCACGGGAGAGCAGGGAAAATGCTGCCTTCTATCTGCTTACTGAGTTGCTGTAGTAATGAGCAAACAAGAAGGGTCTGATGAATACACAGGTCAGGGGGGAAGGGAAGGGATCAAGACAGAGATAGGAATTGTCAGAAATGCTTAAACATTTATTTAACACCTCGCCTCTGAGTGTAGTCAGTCACCTGTACATGCAGCTTGCTGAACTAACTTTGTGTGTGTGCACCTGGTGATATCTTATTCATGTGAAGGCTGCAAGAACGTGTGAATATCTAGACCAGAGCCTCTGTCATTGTTCTGCTCCCTTTGTGCTATATGGATTGTGCAAGACTAAATCCCATTTAAAAGACTGGCTATAGCATGTGAATAGCTGCTTTGCCCCACGAGAAAAAATAAAAACACTACCATTGTTTTTTTTAAAAAAAACTTTGCTGGAACTGGATAGGTTTTATGGAACATTTGTTCATTGTTTTTGGCTTTTGTGGAATGACTGAGAGCCATCTTTATCCATGCTGAGATGTACCTTCCTCCCCAGGTGGTGCCTTTGATTGAAGCTGTGCTCAGCTACTGCTCTGTGGGGCAGATCTCAAGCCCACACCACATGACCTCATAGCTTGGCATGTCATCTTGCTGGCTGAGGTTGAAGTACACGCTTATGTGTGGCTTGTGAATAAATAAATCTGACCCTGCTGTTTTAATATCTGTGTGCATTTGGAGTTTCTGGCTCAGCACTACTCTCTTGGTGGTCAGATGTCAGGGTACAAAATTCTCTGATGTTCTTCTGGTGTAGGTTCCTCTGGTTTTTTTGTCTGATGTGAAGGCAAGCCCTGTTTGATGGCCATAGTGTCTGTTCTTCTAGAGTTTGAGCTCTGACATGAAGTGATGAATTTTTTTTCTGACATCCTGAGCTCATACATGGGCTGATAAAAATTCACAACTAATGTAAGGGCTCCACACTTGTTGACAGTATATGGTACAGGAGACTAAAAAGAGTAGTTCCTAGTGTGATGTGTCTGTGTTCCGTGTTTTATGTGAAAATCCCAATAAGTGGTTCATTGGGTAAAACCCAGCAGATGGAGGTCCAGGCAAAGATTACAGTATTTGCTGGTTCAGTACCCTTGTTTATGGCTAGATACAGGTCTCTGCAAAGTCTATTAAGCTCAAGAGCTGGCTGAGAGTGTGTGAAGAGCCTGGCAGCTGTGAGGTCTCAGAACACTATTTTGTAGATGCCAGGATACAAACTTTTCAGAGCAAATTATTGTCCCTTTTGTTTCCTGAGCTTGTATTGAGAGGCAAATGCACAGAAATTGAGCTTATCCTCCTCTGCATGAAAGTCCAGGCTTCCATGAAGGCTTTGTCTGTGTTTCTGGCACATCAGGGTGATTTTGAAGGATTGGCCTTCTTGAGAATAAAGACCCAATCCTTTTAACTGACGGCTGTGACATGAGAGTACTGGGATTTTGGATCTGGTTTGCTATACTTATTTCAAAAGCCAGATTTCTGTTATATTTGGTTTGTTAGTTCTTGGTCTGATGGGGTTTAGACTCACCAGACCTAAAACAAGGAACAAAAATAAGTCAACCATGAATGTGCTGCTAGGCTGTCACGTCCTTACTCACCTCTTATCATTTCAGATGCTTATGCAGTCTTGTTTGTTCTTTTTTTTCCTGCTGTAGTAGCTATGGATGTGCTTTAGCATCTGATACTGACTACAGCACCTCAAACATACTGGGTTTATGGACCAGGCTATGCCATACTCATGGTTTAGGCTCTGCACATTCCTCATCTCATGTCAGGACATGAGCAGAATGTTGGTGGCTCACATGGTCACTATTTCTCTTATTGTTAGTAGTTCATAACTCCCTTACAAATCAGGCCGGTGCTTGTGTCTAACTGCTGTTTTAGCAGATCATTCTGAGACAGGCATGGCATTCGTTTGTTAATACAATAGTTTCTCAAATCTTAAACCTTTGTTTCATTTCCTAAAATTGTGCAGAGTACTACCAGCAGTATGATACAATCTAAATATGATCTGAATGTTCCTGCTCCAGTTGCAAACATATTCTGATTTTTCCAGTTGATTTTTCCCTGGAAATACTGCTATTCTACTTGTGTTGCATAGGTGCAGAACTAGCAGAGACTGCAGAATTCTTCTGCCCTATCTTAGTCCTGGTCTGTTGCAACAAAAAGGATTGAAAGATTTGAATCACAGAGACCCTACAGATCTGAACGCTAGGCAGGGAAAGAAAAGGCATGAAGCACTGATGAGCACAATCCTGGGGAAGAGAGAAGAATCTCTTTTGTAATAGGTAGAAATTTACAGTAGGCAGCTACGGATTCCATAAACATTATTAGGGATTTTAAGTTTTTACAGTGATCAATGTAGAGTTTAGTGATCAATGTAGAATGATCAATGTAGAGTTTAACAAATTTATCAAGGTAACTGTAGTAGTTACATGCAGGGTTGGAATTTAAAACCTTCGTCTTATCTTTCATGAAGCTTTATTGTTTAAACTTTCACCTCACACTGAGCTGCAAAAACATGCTAGAAAATGCAGAGTGACTTTATGTTGATTTAATGCAGGATTAAATTTTTAACCATGAGTTTCTGAGATTCCAGAGTGCAGATCCTGCTTGATCTTTCCTCACTATTAGCTCTATTTGTAGATACTAAGTTGTCGTAATTCGTTACAGCTGGAGTTCGAAATAATGATACATTTTGGAAGGCTGAGGTTTAGAGGTATTTTTGTCCTTTGCCACTGGGGGTCAGGATTTCCTAACCCAAGGAGGTTCACTTTACGCAGCCGGGAATCAGTGCTTATTCCTAACTGTGAGCGGAAATACCGTCCTCAAATGTCAAAGCTTTTGTATGTTCGGAAAATGCTTTCTGCTAAAGATGTCTACACTAAAACCTACCTTTATTTGAAATCTGGTTGCGTTAAACGTGATTTAACCTTTCCTGAGGATAGCCAGGGAATTATTTTCTAAGTGCTGTTCTTTTTGTTTGCCTGAGAGTGCCTCTGAATCTCATGGTAGTTACAACATCAGATGAAACCTGTTTTTGAAAAGGATGTACCTTTTTTAAGTGAGTGAGGAAATAGAGTAGTCAAGCGTGTAGCCTGTTTTGCCTTGAGAAATGGCTGCTACAGCCATATACCTCTGGTTAATCTGGTATACAGTAGTACAGTAGTTCTCTCACCTGACAAATAACAATTTTATAATATTGACACAAAGATGTGCTTTTAGGTGAAATATGATGCAACAGGAATAATTTTTAACTTAGGTTTTAGAAGGGATTTTTCTACTTGAGGAAGTACAGACACCTAGCAGAGATGATACTGAGAAATCCAGTGAAGTGGAACTTTGTCTTTATTTTGCATAGGACATGGCTGATATTTGTTTTTGGGTCTGAAAATGCAAAAATTAAAATTATCCTCATCCTAAACCCCCAAATGGCAGAAAGGAGCAAGTGACCATGGAAACGGAGACCGCGTCTCCAACTGGAGACGACTTGAGTCAAGCACATGCTGGACAAAGGGATATCTGCCAGTTCGTAGGCAATTAGAGTTCTCTTCCTGAGAACTTCAAATGAAGCCCTTAAAACAAGCTTTTGAAACTCCTGAGAGGCTGAGTCTGTGCAGGTCTCTTTGGAGCACCGGTCAATTATGTTAGAGGGTCTCCAAAAGCACAGAATTTGTGAGCATGGTCTTTGTGCTGAAAATGCAAATGGTTGTGGCTGATGCATTTAATAGACAGTCTGCCCCTCGTGTTCCCAATGTAGAGAATTTTTGAACAAAGGTCCTTTTTCTTTAACATTCTCTGCATTGTTTCAGAAGAGCGCAACAGGACAAACTGTTTCCCTCAAATAGATTTGAGAAGAAAGCATTGCAGGGAGTCAGCTGTGGAAATTAATGGGTCTTCAGTGTGTGGCCTTCGTCGACTACTTTCCTCTTCTAAGCAAACCTGGTAGTTTCAGATGACATTGGCTTTATCTTTTGTGCTGACAAATTTAGTTCTCTTTCTCCTTGCTCTGACAGGCATTTTTCTAGTTTCAGCTTTATCTTTCCTTTCTTCGTGCACCCAGCTCTGTTCAGCTTCCACTTGTTAATAACTTAGTTTCAAAAGCTGCTACTGTGTTCCTCTCTCAGGCTTTGCTTAAAACTCTTTAACTGATTGGAATGGGAAGCTTTGGGTAAACAGTAGAAAAGCATTCACTATTTAATCTGCATTTGTTCTGCGTATGGTAGTATCAAACTGATTAGAAATGGACAGCTTTTTTTAAATAGGGTTTGCAGCTGTAAACTTCAACTATTGCCAGTATCTTTGTGGATATACATCTGTGTGACTGTCTTTTGAGGTGTTATGGATGGACCTCACCTTTTTCCCTTGGTTGCTTTTTTCTTTTTCAGTTTGCATCTAAGGGAAAAGCCCTTAAAATTTATCCATCTGAATTGCATTGAATTATATTTCACAATAAATTATAATTATATTTTACAAAAAATAGTAATAAAGTCTAGTTCCTTTCAACCTTTTGAGCCTTCAATTCAACACGCTTAGTCTCAGCATAAAAACTATATAAGGGTGGAAGGTGATGTTGTAAAATGACTAAGAAGTCATCCACATATTTGTCCGTCCAAATCCAAGTAGAAATAAGAATGTGTTTGTGGGAAATGCCATATTACTTTCACTCCCTACAGACTTTCGTTCATTTTAAATTGGCTCAAATTATTTATTTTTGTCCGTGTCATTGGAGTTTGATTGTTGTCCTGTCTATTTTTCTTGCAAGGGTCCAGGATTATATGGTGAAGGAGGTTCTTTGAAAGACTATTAGAAGACTGATTATTGTTTGGTCCAGTTTTAATATCTTAACTATTAAGCCATTGACAGGAGAATGGAAGGGATATAAAAAATTCGTGGTTGCTTTTATTGTAAAGCTGGAAAAAAAATAGAAGATTCTTGTCACCTTACTGTTTACTAAAAACCTTTGTATTCCTCTCTTGTAGCTGGCAAAACGTGGATTAAATGTAGTTATGATAAGCAGAACTCTTGAAAAACTGCAGAGAGTAGCCTCTGAAGTTGGTGAGTGTTTGTCTCAAACTTACCTTCCTGTTTAGCAGGCTGGCTTTACAAGGATCCCTTGGTAGTTTCTAGGAGAGTAGGGACCAAGGTATTGCCCCAGGTATTGCTCCAGTACTAGAAATATTTTGTTGTTACTGTGTAGCTTGAACCTTTCTAGTCTTGCTTGCTTAAAAAGTATATGCTGTGTAGCATAAATATGCTATATCATTCAAACACAATGGGTTTGATAAAAAAGTGAATGTGTAGAATCGCATAATTCTGGGGGCACTTGTGGAAAGCCAGCTGAGCATGAGCCAGCAGTGTGCCCATGTGGCCAGGAAGACCAACAGCATCCTGGCCAGCATCAGAAAAGGTGTGTCCAACAGGAGTAGGGAAGTGATTGTCACTCTCCTTGTCACTGCTGAGGCTGCACCTGGGTACTGTGTTTAGTTTTGGGTGCTGCAGTTCAAGAAAGACATTGAGGTGCTCGGGTGGGTCCAGAGAAGTGCAACTAAGCTGCTGAGGAATCTAGAGAACAAGTCTTATGAAGTGCAGCTGAGGGAATTGGGATTGTTTAGTCTGGAGACGAGGATACCCAGAGGGACCTTATTATTCTCTAGAACGCTCTTCTGACGGAAAGGAGGTAGTAGTGAGGTGGATCTTGGTCTCTTCTCACTATTGCTATTACTAGCAACAGGATGACAGGAAAAGGGCTTAACTTGTACCAGGGGAGGTTTAGGTTGCATGTTAGGAAAAAATCCTTTACTGAAAGAGTGGTGAAGCTTTGGAACAGGCTGCCTGTATATGTGTCTTTATCCACCAGATTCCTTGATTCACAGGTTCTTGTGTTAAGTGTGTCTTCCTTCAAGATTATGCCTGTGTCAGAGAGGCTTGCCTTTAAGCAGACCTAGCAGCTGATGCCAAGAGACTTATCAGGCCCAGGATACTTACTTGTAGAGAGAGCAGTGAATCTCTCAGGGATGTGACAGACTTGAAGTGGGCGAAAATAATCTCTAACTTCTGAACCAGCAGCTACCAAGATCGAGGATTAGACCATGAACTTTTCAGCCCAATTTCCCTCCCCTTTTTTTCCCAGAGATACATGTCTTTTTCCTTTGGGAAGCAGGGTCTCTCAGAGGAGGAAAGCACCAGCTCCCTGAATAGTCTCTCTATAAGCAGTTGTATCCATGAGAACGATGTGACTATGGCCTACGCTAGCCCCTCTTAAGCAAGCAGCCATAAAAAAATAATTTCCTTGGGAATTAGGTCAGCTCTCGTGTTATTGTTGCCTTTCTGTGCAGCTAAATATTGAAGAATTACGGTCATGAAAACATGAAGAAAAAAAGGATGGAGACTTTCTTTGCATTGTAAATTACAATCAGAAACACAAAATAAAACCAGTAAGATTCCTGAGACTAACCTAGAAAAGTAAAGAAGTCGTGGAGGACTGGAAAGATGACATACTGTAAATTTGCCCTCGGTTTGATTTATTACAAGGCCATCCACTGACCGCCTTCCTAACTGAAGCCATACTGAGCTGAATTGCGTAGCAGCATGTAATGAAGGACCTGCCATGCCCTGAAAGATGCTGCTGAGATAGCCTGCTCTGCAAACACTGCCACGCCTTGTACAAAAGTGACCCGTGACTTTCCACATGTGAGGAAACTTCAGCTGACTGTATCGGTGTTACCTGTGAAATCCAGGGTGCGAGAAAGCAGATGATGTGACCCCAGGAGCTCAGGCCACACTGGTCCTGTTTCCGTGCTGTGTTCAGCTGAGCTGTGGGCACGGAGACTTTTCCCCAAAGCTCACTGAAATTCATGGCAAATCCCAGTGAGATCTTTCCATTGTTTTCAGTGGGTTTTGGCTGAAGCCCAGAGTGACTCATCTGTTATTTGTTCGATCAGGTTGGGAATAAGTACATAACAGCAAGTAGATGGCAGAAACAAAAGGAAAGAGAGGAAGATATAGTGATGAAAAGTGTAGAGCATCTGACCTGGAGGCCACTAAAATCAGCAGGGAGATCTGGATGTGGGCTTATGTTAAAGCTTTGGAAATGTTCCACTGATTCTGATTTTCAGACCCAGGCTGTATTGTAATTAAGCTAAGCAGTCATTGGGAAGGAAGAAAATTTAAACTTGCTGTAAGTACTTGATGTGAGTAAATAAACAATAGAAACAAAAAATGAAACAGGAACTTAACCAGAGTGATTATACTGTTTTCTAAATTTTCACTCACTGACTTTTTCTTTCTAAACTGCTTAAACAAGCAGTATCTTGCTCCAGGCATCTACCTTTACCCTGAACTAACATGCAAGAAGATTAAAGCACAAAGAGAGAGGAAAAAGGTTTGTTGTAGGCTATGTAAATTTGTTGCAGGACTGGACACATCACTCCTTTCCTTTTTCTTAACAGCTACGCCATGTAACTTTCTGCAGCCATTTGAACACCATAATTAAAATACATGTGTCTCTTTTCAAACTGAGGATATTCTTTGCCTAACATTCAGTTTGGGGACATTCAGTTGGGATACTGAGTAATGTAAGTTAAAAGAGTCTAAACTGTGGGTAATTTCAGGGATCTCAGTGTTTGGCTCTCTAAATCCTGTGGGCCACAGGTATGCCTGAGAACAGGCAGAAATCCACAGTAAGAAAAATGTTAAAGAAGCACTGGAATTGAAAATCAGATTTCCATCCACTCAGATTGGAGAACTCTTTTAGAATGAGATAAAAGATAACAAAATAGCTCTTGTGGAGGGCAGACAGAAAGGACCATTATACCAGCTACACTGCTTATTTATTTTATATATGCACTGTGTTTGCACTCTGTAAGACATGAAATTTATTCTCAACAAGGGTCATTGTGTTTTGGGGGGGTTCAGTTGGTTTTTTTTGCAGGGGGTCATTTTTGGTTTACTTTTTTTTGAGTAAAGACAAATCAGTATTTAAGGAACAATATGGTATTTGATCCTTTGAAAGCAGTGGAAAATACAGCCGTACCAATTTAGAGTAGCTGAGCATGCAGTTAACGCAGTTGGGTTTGGTGATGCAGGAAGTAGTTTATCCACCTTTCTCTCCTGCAATTATGCCTATTAACATAAAATAAAGCAGTCAATAAAAAAATCACTCGAGACAGTCTACAACCAAATGTGCCTTACTCACACTAAGACCTTGAAGGTGCTAATACATTTAGCTGTTCCTCCTGCTACAAGTTCAGTTTCTCATATGCTGTACTATGTTCTCTATCTCTCGTCCTCCCTGCTCTAAGTGGGTAACACACTGTGGTCACTGACTGGCATGAAACAGCTCACTTGGCACATCCTTCCTTCATATTCAAAGGCTGTTAAAAATGGCTGTTGTGTCTTGCTAATCCCTTGAGGTAAAACATTATTGGTCAGGACTGTTTTCCCAATATGCGCTACTACATAACAGGGCACTTGAGCGCCTTGACCGATTTTCTGAGCAGTCTAGTAGCAATTCCCAAGGTTTTATTTTTGTTAATTCATTAAGTTTGTGTTCTCTAGTATCTCCTATCATGTTTTTCAGTTCTGCTTTTACCCTTGGGGTTTTTTTTGTTTCTTCTCTGTTTTCCTGTGATTTCTGAAACTGAATGATACTATATTTCTGAGAAGAGACGTTTCTCCTGAAGACCTTTGAAATGTAGCCAGAACTTGTGCTTTATAATCTGACAGAACTTTTTATATTTCTCCTGTCTTACATCATTTGTAACCTCTTTCTATCATTAAAATAACTTCTCATTTTGCTCTCCTCTCTACAGATTTCCACTGAATATGAATGCCATCTTAGCCTGAGTGCTTCTCTCTTCATATTCAAATTTTACTGTAGTATTTCAAAAAGGTCTCCTCGTTCTACAAAGATCAGTTCTTGTGTCACTCAGGTATTCATTTTGCTACCTCGGGTTTTCAGAAGGTCTTCATAAGTCTCTAAATAGAAAGGGAGAGTTTCTGGCAGACTGCATGTCCTAACCAACTTCATGCTTCATCCTGATTTATTATCTTCTCGGTAAATTTCAAAAGGCAGCACGTTATTGTATCTGACAAATGGGATTCCCAAGTGGTTTGAGGTCAGAAGGAATTAGATGTATCCTTCTTAATGATACATTTTATAACACATCAGATTAAACAACTCAGTTCAAGTTTTTGTTTTCCTTAAATTAGTTTTCATTTTTAAAAAAAAGATGATAACCTGTCTTGGTGTTTGAAAACCTAAGCTTTTTGCTTCTGGCACACTTAGGACTTTTAAGAAGAGTTGGAATGGCTTGTGTCTTCAAAGACTGTCATAAATCTTTGTCACAGAGAGGGAGAAACATAAGAAACATTGGAAATTATTTTTTTGGCTCACTCCTTTGCGGAATTGTTATTTTCTAAGAGCTATCCCTGGATAATTAATTTATCAGCATGATAGTTTTATTGTTTTTTAATATATTGTTTTATTCTTAAATGAGACAGAGGAAAGCCATCTGGAGTACTTGTTTTTTGGCTCGGAGTGCTGGTTGCAGCGGTACAGCTCTGTACAGACGAGGGGATGCAGAGAAAGTCCAAATGGTTTGTTTGATCCTCATTTTTATATTGCTCTAGTTTTGGCTGCCCTTCTGATTGCCCGCGAGAAAGATGGCCACAACATCACTACACTTTTTAAGACCAACTTACTTTGTTTATAGAGCTCTTCAATCGGAAGGTCACTGTAGGTGTCTGCTCCAGCTGTTGCTCTGTTCTTTCCCACTCACTGCATTTACACTCACAATGTCCTTTTCTTTATAGTTGTACCATTCCCGCAGCCTGGGACCACGATGGGGGTCATTTGCCACTAGAATTGCTTTTAAATATTGAAGGTTCAAAGGGTATTTCGTCCCTTTCATTTGCACAACTGCGGTTTGGAAAGAAGGCATGAAAAAAGGGCATTCCTTCCTCCTTTCTTCTGTCACAGAGACAGATGTCCTCTAAAGTTACACACAAGACTCAGCCTGCATTTCAGATCTGGAGTCGGTGCATCTGCTCTTTCCTCAGACTGCTTCCATTGCTTGTGCAGTGTAAGGTGGTCAAGACTTGCAGAATATCAAGGGGCAAGGAGGAACAACTGGCAGAGAACAACTTTTATCCTCCAACACAGTCTCTGTTTTGTTGCATACAGGTCTGCAGGACCCGATCCCAGCTTTCTGCCAGCCTTGCTCTGCTGCGGGAGGTGGTGCAAGGGCCTCTTCCTAAGTTCTGAGTGTCCACCAAGAGATGAGGCAAGATTTCTGGGTAGAAATCAGTCAGCCTGATTCCTGTTCAAGGCAATGCTCTCTGTCACCTGTGTGAGAAAATCAGGCTCCAAACAAGCAGAGACGATTTCCCGAACAGGACTCAAAGGAGGCTTCCTGCCATCTGTGGGCACCTGAATTCCTGCCACTTTCAGGGAGTCCGCAAGCCAATCGTCTGTTGATGTTTCCTGTCACTGTTTCAGCAAACTTCATCTGGATTTCAGGTTGCCCATAAAACTTGAAAGCAGGTTTAGTAGCAAGAATTTACAATATGAACATCTAGTTAGAAGAGACCTTACTGGGCCCCTTTAAAAGAGAACCTTGCCTTTAAAAATGAGTAAATAAGAGTCTCTACCTCTTTTCCTCATGAAACTTCATTGAAAATATGAACAGCAATAAATCAACTGCTGAGAAATATGGTAATGTACAGCTGGACTCCACTCCTGCATAGCAATGACAGTGGAAAAATTACACACATTTCCCTTTCCCTTTTGTGTAAATCAACCTTGTAAAATTCAAGCTATACCCTCCCTAAAATGCCTGTTAGTCCTGCAAAATCCTGGGGAAGGTTCAATCTACTGGGGTGCAAATCTGAAAACAGGAGAGGAATTTTGGAAAATAACGCAGAAAATACTGCATTGTATCTAGCTCTGTTTTGCCTGTTAAAATGTTCATCTTATACATGAGAACACTCTCAAACCATTTTGAAAAATTGTGCTTATGCAGAGGATCTGGCACCCACAGTCACTTGCCTAATGTATGCTGACAGTGTTCATTTATAAATATTGTGATAACCAGGGGGAAAATTCATGTGTTGTTTATTTCTGGGATTTTGTTTCTTCGGGGTTTTTTTCCTTAGTGAAGGACCAAGTGGTATTCAGATTTTGTGAGGGAATTTCCATTGATTTCAGGGCATAAATTCATCCTATATTTGCCAGGACATTTCCCTGAAAACAACTGATACAGCGAGAGTGTTTTGCTTGTGTTGTTAATATTTCTTAAAGTAAGAAAGTTGAAACAATTGCTAACTGTAGAGCAGTTATTACTAAATATGATGTATGATTGTTTCTCTCATTACTTAATTACAGCTCTCCTGCTCTCTGGGTGGTTGCAGAGGAGTTTTCTATTATTTTTTCTTAATTACAGAACAGACCACAGGTCGAAAGGTGAAGGTTATACAAGCTGATTTCACTAAAAATTCAGTATACAAGAACATTGAAAAAAATCTGCAAGGCTTGGATATTGGTGTTCTGGGTGAGTCATTAAGCTCTATTATTTGAAGACTATTTTATGGCTGCAGAGACTTGTATAAATGATGTGTCATGACAACTTGTTAGCTAACACTTAAGATCAAGCATACAGCTGCCAAATGCATTTGAGCCTTACTTATCATGAGCAAGTTTTAAAAGTGAATTAGGATTCTCCGAAGACTTCCTGATGTCTGTACAGTGGCTTCTTTACTGTAAAACCTCTTCTGCCACTTTATAAGCAGCATCAAGTTTATGGGGTGACTTTTTCCTTATTTGGCCTCCAGGAATTAATTTTTATTATTGATTCTTTTACAGCTGTGTGCAATTCTTATATTCAGTCTGAAAAGAGCCTGTGGTTAACATTAACTGGTACTATCCACACAGCAACAATGAAAACATGGGGGTTTGGGGGAAGTTTTTGGGCTTTTATTTGAATAAAGAAAATCATCCTTTTGATAGTGAAACAAATGAAACAACACCACAAACAAACAACCTGTAGAAACAGACTGCTTTTGTATATTCCCTGAAGTCCGCACTGATCAGTATTGATGACTTCAGTATGAACAAGACTTGGTGCTAAACTGCATTTCTCTTCACATACAGCTCTAAAGCTTCTGACTCTCAAGAATAAACCATTTGTTTAACTAGCTGAGCTATGCACTTTGTTTAGATTTGGTTCTTATCATTACATTTCCTTTGATTAGTTAACAATGTTGGAATGCTTCATAATCCTCTTCCATGCCGTTTCCTTAGTGGACCAGACGTAGATGAGGTAGGATTACTCTGTGGGTTTCTGCTTCCAATATAACAATGAGAAATTGTAATTCCATTTAACAAGGGACAAATTCTTCCCCTGTGTGTATTTGACTGCTCAGTTGAGTAGGAAAAGAACTGGGCCCAGAGGAGTGTATTTTGATTTCTTTTTAGCGCTCAGAGGGCAAGAGAAAAAAGAGTGGTTGAATTCAGCTGGACAGCAGCAAGCACCCAGTGACGGAGGGGAGAGTGCAGCTGCCCTGGTTGTAGCAGGGGTCAGCAGGCCCTCTGGCTCACTCCCCACCTGTAACATAATGGGGGTCCCGCCTGGCCACAGCCGCAGCTGAAGTGCTGGGTTCTTGTTAGTATTATTAAAACTTTTTTTATTTGGAAGGCAGTTGCTTAAATATGTGAAAAAAAATAGTAGAAAATAGACCTCTTTTAAACACAGTTTACTTTGGGGGGCTGGGGGGGATTAATGTACACACCTATAATAGTTTCACAGGGATAAGGATTTTCATTGCCTGATTGTTATCTACATCTATGGTATTATCCATGCAAAACCTCCACAGAATTTCCAAGTGTGTTTCTTGCTAGTACCTGTCTCAGGTGCTAGCTCGAGCTATCATCCCCAAGCAAGCTGCTTCTGTCAGAGCTGGCAACTCTGGCTAATGTGCTGTGGATGATCCTGCTTTATCAGGGGGGTTGGACTAGATGATCTCTCGAGGTCCTTTCCAATTCCAGTGATTCTGACCATCTACCTCTGTCACTGAGACCCACTCAGCCTCCGCCTGGCACCTCTGTAATTTGTTGTCTGTGTGCATCCACCTTGGCTTGCTGGTACCATCACTGCCTGGACACCAGGTTTCTGGTGCCAAAATGTGCAATGATGTGTCTGGGCAAAACAGAAAGCACAGAATCAAAGGAATGCAAAGAGGATTTGAAAACCATGTTTAAAATAAGATAAATCAGGAGTTACCTGCTTTTGAATATCCCACATCATAGGTCGGTGACAATTCCAGGCAATCTAAGAGTTCTAAAAGCAACTGCCTTGCTAGAGAATTTTTCAGTCAGAGTTGCTAGCTTTGTACTGTATGAGCTACAAACTCTGCAGATAGCGATGAACTTACTGTTTTCTTGCCTTCTGCAGAACCTCATCAACTGCAACATTATTTCTGTTACAAAGGTATGTGACACACTCCCATCTATGTTACATCTGTAATGTATTTTACTGAAAAAAATAGACCAACACAAGAGTGACCAACAAACTTTCCTGTGTATTTTCATTTAATTTGTAAGCAGACAGTAATTTTCGGCAGGAATGTCAGCCCAGGGAAGTGGTGAGGTCACCACCTCTAGAGGTATTTAGAAGATGTGTAGATGTGCTTAGGAACATGGTTTAGTGATGGACCTGGTGTTGTTAGGTTTATGGTTGGACTTGATGATCTTAAAGGTCTTTTCCAACCTAAATAATCCTGTGATTCTCTGACTATTTTAAGGATACCATCTGTTTCTGCTGCGTGTGAAATATTTTGATGTGAGCTGGAAATGTTTTAACCCAGTTGCTCACTTGAGACATATTGTTACACTGTAGATGAATCAATTTACAAAAACATTTGTTTTGGTATACAGGGAGATTTGTTTCAGAAAAAAAATCTTCAAGACAGAAAGATCTGCCATGTGACTTCTTGTACTGTACTTGCACTTTTTGTCACAATTCTGTTGTGCAAAAATATTTTTGTATCAGTGCAGGATGAGAACTAACCCCCAAGTCTGTATGGTTACCTCTTCGTGCTAATTTTCATAGGTTACTTCCCTTACAAGAATAGTTAGTATTTCATGCTTTCCACCTCTGATTAAGATTTGTATTGCTCTGTTGTTTGCAAGCAGCATGTTAACGTGAACAAGAGCAAAACAAGAGCTCTGTGGTTCATGTCAGCCTTGGCTAATGTCTTTTTAAACATGCCATGAAAATTATCAGCAGATGTTCATCTTTCTCTGGCTAGTAAACTCTACATCCCAAATTTGTGCTGGTGCTAAACGACTTCAGAAACTAAATTGTGTAATATCAGTTAACTGAAACAGATTCTTTCATGAAGTGATTTGGTGAACTTTTTGCCCCCAGGTTTTTTTATATTTGTACATCAAAAGAACAGAGATATCTGAATGCTAAATATGTATGCCTCACAAAAACAGGCAAACATTTTGTACCCTCTCAATCTGGATAAAAAAGATTTCTTCCATTACCATTTCCCACCTTACACATACCTCAGAACCAACCTCTCCTGCTTGACCAGGGCCTGGGGATTCCTTTCCCCCACTGCTACAACCATGTCATTTGCAGTCGTTCACGAATATTTACCTTTGTTCAAAATACAAGGAAAAACCCACACTCTTAACCAGGATTCCTTATGTTTAGGTCCAAATAATCTTTAAATCAGTCTGGATTTTTTTTCTTCCCCTGTCTCTACCTTGACTCCTGCTAGGATCCCGCTCACCACTTCTTGCAGTAGGATGCCCGAGGTATTCCCAGTTCCCACAGATCTAAGCAGGATTTTCAGCACTACAAAAGCAGGACTTTTCCCCATGTTTTCCACTTTACTTGGGCATTCCCCTTCACCCAAGCTGATATGACCTACTTGTATTTTCATCCTTTCTGAAAACGAATCTTGTGAAACCCACTCTGCTCCTACTATCGTGTTGTGCACAATGACACTACTGAGAAAAAAGGGAATTAATAAGGATTGTCTTAAGCTGCTTCATTCATTTGCACTACTTTACTGCACTTTACATGCTAGGTCACATTCTTATCCTGAGAAGATTCGTATATTATGTGTGTTTTTATAAAGAGTCTGTAGGGACTTAGTCTTACTATCAATAATAGTCTTCAAATGCAACAAACTGAAGCAGATTTCTAACGTGAAAATAGATTCAGCTGCACTTCAAAACTCATAAGTGTAATTAAGTCTATCACTAAAATAAGAATGGATGATTAAATAATTAGCACCAAAGAAGATCCTAAAGCACTTTTTGACAGCAGAAAAAAAAAAATTGCCTTTTCATGATTTTCTGCTATTCTGGTGTAGCCAGAAGTGAAAATGCAAACGACACAGTTATGATGCAATATTGAAGAATGATGAAATTCAGATACTATTGAAAAGCTTTAGATAAGCATAAGACTTTCACTGCTTAGAGGACTAGCCTTTGGAATTTTTTGACAATTCAGGTGATTTGCAGGCCATTATAATTTCTAAAACGTTTTACAAAACTTTGAATGTGCCACATTTTAGCTATTTGAACTATATACATATGGCTGAGGCTTCAGCAAGTGGAAAGTTTTGTGAATAGAACAAGAAAATGCGATCTGAAAGTAGAAAAATGGATAGAATTCTTAACATATTTGTCTTACAGATGACAAAAATAATTCTGAAACAAATGGAGACAAGGTAAAAATTATTTTTTCCTAGAACTTTCAATAGCCTTTAGCTGCTACCTCCACTTTATTCAGTGGTAGCTATGCTTTTTCATGATTAACTTCTGCACTTCACAGCATGTCAGTCAGCAAGATTTCTTTCATTGCTTTTAGTGCTGTGTGAATAAATGATAGGAGCTGCTACAACTTGTCAGTAAACTGCAGAACAAAACAGAAAAATATAAAATGTAGGTCTGTGTCCAGTGAAAACATTCAGGGGTTGCAGAAATAAAATGACATGTGATGGATCTAATCAGTCAAGAAGCATCATTTGAATTTATTGTCATATTCTTCTAAGAGGGGTAGCTGTGCTTGGAATAGTACTTTTCAAGCTCTGGAAATACCTGTGCTACATCAGAGAGATTAATTCAGCTATGCTGATAAGGATCCCTTTTCTCCTTTTAATACAATGTGTGTTTTAGACCTGAGGATCCTTAAACCAGAAGTTAAGGTCTTTAGATGAAGTTTCTAGAACACATCGTTAATTACTGTATTTCAGAGGCCAGTGCATGCTTTTTGTTTTGGCAACAAAATAAACTCTTATTGCTTAATTGTTTTGGTTTGTTTTTTGCCTCGTTGTTGCTGAAAGAATTGGATTTAGTGACTTGTGCAGGGAATTGTGAATAGGGAAACTAAAACAACGGATGCGTGGAGCAGGAAAAAGAATGTGTTGGCTAATGAGCAAAGGGAACCAACCAATTACTTAGAAGCAATCTTCCCTCTAATGGCATTTTTTGCTCGGTTAGATCTACAATAGTATGTACAATGTTCCTATGGTTGTGACTGCATTAGGCATTTAAATTTCACTCGTGAAATTATTCCTAGCTGTTTTACATTTAATTGCACCTAAGTAAACCATAAAAATTAATTCTTTTGAAAGTATGTTCTGCAGTATAATAGGAGAGCTGTGCCTTCTGGAGGAAAAAAGTTATTTTCCACTCATGCAGGCTTTTAATGTAATACTGTTAAATGTAAATGGAATGTAATGGTTTAAATTAAATTTCAGACAGAAGGGTCTTATTCTGAATCTGTCCTCTGGTCTGGGTGCTTTCCCTTGTCCATTATACACAATGTACTCAGCTTCTAAGGTAAGTCTTTCACATGGCTTTTTAAAGAAATCCTCAGCAAGTGCTTACTAAGGTGTTTGTATCAGCAATATAGGGCTAGGCTTTCAGGACATAAATCAGTGTTACTCCACTGAAATAATGAAATAATGTAAATTAGCACTAGCTGAGAACTAAGAATCAGTGAAGCTATGTAAGCAAAATCCATCCGAAGGTATGTCTGATCATTGGAACATTTTTGCTTTTGATTAAATAGTGTTATATCAGTGCTTACAATCTGTCTTCGTTTCAGAAAGTGATGACCTTTACCAGGCTGGCTTAGTGAGTTTACTCAAAACTGTAGATGCACAAAAGTGCTAGATTTTGCTTATGGAATCAAGACTAAAACTCCTGGTGGGTGGTGAATTCCCTGGCTTTATTAAATAAAAATCACTTTGAAATTTTGCCCTGAATTAAAACCCCAGAGTTTATAAAAATGAGAAGTGAAAGTGAAATTCCAGAAGCAATTTGCTCAGCTCAGGCTTGCTTCAAATGAAGAACTGTAATAATATTTGCTTGAGCATAGACAAAGTTCAGCTTGGTAAGAAAAAGCTAGTTATTCCTAGTAACAACATCTAGTTTTCCATTTTTTTTTCTCTTCTTAAAGTAAGTTTCTCATTACTCAAAACTGAAACTGCGTTCAAACCAGACAATTTTAGTTCCTTAAAGAACTTTAGTTAACACTATTTCAAAGTTATTATTTTGACTTTTTTTCATTCTTGGGTATCTTTTACATTTGTTTCTTTTTAATCAGACTTTTTTTTTAAGTACCCTGAAAGTATACTATTTTATTTGTCAGCAATATCACAACATTATTGGTGTTTAAGTTTTAATACCTATCAAATAATTTCTTTGAAACACTGGAATTTTTTTTCCTTAGTAGGACTTTTATATTTTTAATTACAAAGGAGTGATCCAGTGCTATCAAGTTTCTGAATATTTCACAAAGGTGTAACTCCTAAAATCAGTCTTAAAAGAAGCTGAACTTTTACACAAAGTAGTTAGCATATGTGTACTCTTCATGGTGTGGAGAAAAACTTAGAAAGATAAACCTTAAAGGCTGAAGTAACAACTCCCCCCCTCCCCAAATTCCCAAATACCTGACTATGAAAATCGTATTTGTAGGCTCTGATAATAGGTGTGCACTGAAGGCCTGAGTCGTATCTCACTCTGCTTTTTATTGCAGAGAAACAGCAGAGTAACATTGAACTGGGAGGGTAGGTGCCAGCCAGATTTGAAAGCCACATGAAAGAATAGGTAGAATAAAGGGGACTCAGATATTTATATCTCTGCATTTTCATAAAGGTGCCAAAGCTTTCAGCCTGGTCTGCAGCAGTACTTGTTTCATGTCTGGCTTGTGCCAATGCCAGTCTCCATCTTTTCTGTTGCAGATTACCATTCCTCGTATGCACCACCAGAAACTGTCTCTTACGAAGTTCATTTGTGTTTTTTACCACTTTATCGTGCCTTAGGTTGTATGGTGCTTGGGCATTTTCGTTAAGGACATGTTTGCACATATTTGTGAGCATACATTAAAGTACTTAGTTTCCTGTGCTAATGTTATTTTTATTTTATTCTAGGCTTTTGTAAGTACTTTCTCCAAAGCACTACAAGCGGAGTATAAGGCAAAGGGAATTATCATACAGGTGATGCTATATCTTGCTATATTTTCCTTTATTTTAACTATTTCTTCAAGAATATCTGAGATGTTTACAGCTGTATAGCACAGCCATCCCTGGTAAAGTGCTGGAGTACCCAGCCAAATCTCTGTCTTCTCCCTGTGTGCATCTATTTTCCTTATGCCACCATACTACGATTACTTATTTGATGTAGTGCCTTAATCCACTGCAAATACCTGTTATAATTTCTCAGATACGGTGGGATTCTGCAGAGGGAATGAATGGCCTTATGTAAATGTTACATTACATTAAATTGTTATTGTGATTTCTTATTTTAGATAGTGGCTCCTTACAGCATTTCTACTCCAATGACAATGCATCAAAAACCTGGTCTTATTACGAAGACAGCAGAAGAGTTTGTTAGTGAATCACTAGATTATGTCACCTTTGGAGACGAGATTTTTGGATGCTTAGCCCATGAAATGCTGGTAATTGAATTTAATAGTGTGTAAATGGGTCCCAAACACTGAACCAAGACTATCTGGGCTCAGCATTTTCTTTTGATTGATTTTAGAGACCTTGAGCTGGACATCAAATGAGAAAGTGAATTAAGGCTGATATAGCAACAGTGAACTATGAAGGGAGGAATACACATGTAGAGCATAGTGGTGTCAGCACTGTGTGGCTTTCTCTACTTTTCTGTCTTGAGCTGAGCTGAGTCTGGTATCTGATTGGTCTTTATCCTTTCTGTAGCTGCCTGTTTTCTGAGACCCCTACTCCATTACAGAAATTGTCTAGCAGATTCAAAAGTTATTAGTGGGAAGGAGAAGGGCAGAAAAACAGACTCTGCTATCACATAAACATCATTTCCTTTAGGATACCAAGCTAACAAAATAGAATAAATATTTATATGTTGCAGCTGTTAATGATGAGCATAAAATGGAAGTATAGGGAAGAGAACAGATTTGCTGAAAACTGAGAGGAATTAACACTTCCTTCTAAGAGAAACGTACATACTGAAAATATAAAGTAAAAGCTTTTGCGTTTTCTGTGACCTTTCTGAACACTCAGTTGATTTCTTTTGAGAAGTTTCTATAACCGTTTGTCTTTGTGTTGTTTTTACTTGGTTATTCTGAAGGCATTTGTCCTACAGTTTGTCCCGTTATGGGTATTCCACAGCAACAAACTTCAAGAAGCAGTCCTGCATGCATTTACCAGTTATCTGAAGAAGAGGTGGAGGAAACCCTAACAGAGTAAATTTTTTTTGTGGAAGAGGAGCAATGGGAAACTTCCCCAGGAGGATGCATTATATGGTGCCTTTGTGTGTGTGAACGTGTAAGGAATCAGACCAGTTTGAGCCATAGCTCCATCTAGATCACCTATCAAGTGATAAGGGATTCAGTCCAGCAAACTTATTAAGTAAATCATTCCTGTCCCTTTTCAAAGACCACAAAATTTGCTAAAGGTGTTCCAGTGACTTCTGTGGGCCTTAGGTTCTAAGAAATTTGTGTTAGTATTTTAAGATAAACTTGGAGGCAACAAATATTTATCCTGATTTGATGTTCACTAATAAACCAATAACTTGCTTTATTTCCAAACTTGTTCACAGTGTAGTTTGATGCTTTCAGTGACTGCTTTATGTCTTTGTTTTTTTCTGAAAAGGAAATCTGCAAGAAGTGAAAAAGAAAGCTCTCAGAGTGTGAAGTACACTCGGAACCTTTGGAAGTCTGCAACCATAAAAAATGTATTTCTGTCCAGAGCCCATGAATAGCTTCATCCTCTGCAAGCACAAAAGAGCAAATGCAGTAATTCTACATTCCTATGTGAATCCACAAGGCAGATCTTTTGATTGTAGATACCTATGAAGATCATACTGGATGCTATTAAAAAGCATTGCAGGGGCATGGCAATTATCAGGCACAGTCAACATGGGTTCACAAAAGGGAAGTCCTGTTTAGCTAATTTGATATCCTCCTATGACAAGGTCACCCACACAATGGATGAAGGGAAGGCAGCGAATGCAGTTTTTCTGAATTTTAGTAAGATTTTTGATACTTCCCCTTACAGCATCTTTCTGGATGAGTTGTCCAACTGTGACATGAGCAGGTACACGGTGTGTTGGGTGAAGAACTGGCTGAACCAGCAGGGCTCAAAGTGTTGTAGTGAATGGAGCTACATCTGGTAGGTGACTGGTTACCAGTGGTGTTCCTCGGGGTTCAACTTTTGGGCCTGTTCTGTCCAACAGGTTTATCAGTGACCTGGGTGCAGGAGTTGGATGCATCATTAGCAAGTTTGCTGATGACCAAACCGGGACGTTGCTGTTGACTCTCTCGAGGGACAAGATGCCTTGCAAAGGGATATAGGTAGATTGGATAGACCATTGGGCAATCAGCAATAGCCTGAAATTTAACAAGAACAAACGCCAGATTCTGTACTCGGAAAGGAGGAAAGTCAGGCACAAGTACAGATTGTGGGAGGAGTGGCTGGAGAGCAGCCCTGCAGAAAGGGATCTGGAGGTGCTGGCTGACAGCAGCTCAGCAGGAGTCAGCTGTGTGCCCTGGTGGTCTATTCTAGTTTAATCTAGTCTAATCTAGTCTAGTCTAGTCTAGTCTAAATATATCTTCTCATTGTGCAGGTTTATTTTATGTGTTCCTTTCAAAAAAGTTTTTTTGTAAAGCTGCATTAAGATAGCAAAGTAAATAAATAAAAGTAACATATGTTGGTTGGGTTTGACCAAGCATGAGGAAGCGTGTCTGTAGTCTTTGCCACACAGGATGGAGAGGAATCACAAAATGCATCCTACTGGCTCAGAAATTCCAGTCTGCTACATTCAAGCCAGAGACATATATAGGCAACACCATATAGACTTATAATACAGCACCATACTGCCCCAGCTTCCTGCACATGCCTCCCACACTTGTGAGAGCTGCTGATTCACTTACATTCTTTCGTATTAGAACTGGAAAGGGAGAAGTAGCTCGTGAAGAGATCAGTGTTATTAAACCACAGCATTAAAAAAGATTTGGCTTACACCTAAAATGGTGAAATTTTGATATACTGTGAATATTCTATATTTTTGGTTTGGATTTTTTTTTAACCTTTTAAATTCACACGTTCAATGCTTTTCTGTGCTGCCCTCTTAAAAAATAAACACCACAAAACAAAACTAATCCTCTGAAAACCCGCAAACATTTACTTATGTATATTTAAGAGGATAAGCTCCAATTCATACACAATGGCCTGATTCTAGAATGTGATGCTTTAAAGGAAAACACAAACAATCAGGGATCTTGATAAAATGGCAGTGTTGACATTATCATTGCTCTCCTGAGACAGGATTTTAAAATGAGCCTTTTGACTGTGCTGAAAATTAAATCCTGTATTTGTAAAAAATAATATCCAAGCCATACTCCTGAAAGAGAGTGGAAAGTGTTGAGAATGGGAGTGCTGCAATGTCACAGGAGCAGTGTTCACTTGAGAGGTTGTCCCTGTGCAGAACCTTTCTCCTGAATTCCCTGAGACAAAATAGCTTCAATTACATCTGCAGGGGAGAAGGTTTAATATATATCACCTCCGGCCCCAATAAGAATTTTTGCCTACTAGTTTTAATGGTCCACTTTGTGCATATGGAAGTCTGTATTTCAAGATTAGTGTGCCGTCTTTGAAGGTAGAAGTGAAAGAGACATTTCTTTTTTTTGTGCTCTTAATCATCATTAGAAATAAAAGCAGTGGATAAAGTTGTGGTGTTTTTAAAAAATAATCTCTGTGGTTCCAGAGCAAAGTATCACTGGTTCTCAGTGCATTAAGTCAGTTCAGCCTTTTCAAAATGTTTAAAAATTTCTATTAGGTTCTATGCCATCATCAAATAATGACATTCTGTCCCTTGAAACAGAAAGCCATTTCTTTCTACGACTCTAGAAATACTTAAAAATCTTCTCTGGTACTATATACCCATCACATCTCAGAGCCTTTTTAATTAAAGAGGTTATATATTTCTTCATGGCCTCCTTTGTTTCATGCCTTAATGTCAAATATAAAACGACTACTGAATGTTGCTGCCCAATATAGAAAACATCTTAAAGTCAAAATAAGACATCTGTGCTTGATGCTTCAGCATTGCTGGTTTCAAAAGCAAAGAATAGGTATTGTTTGTTCATCACTCCATAAAGGCTATGTTTTCAAGTGATTATATTCTTCTAAATGGGATATGTGTGTAGCTGTACAGCAGGTAAGTCGGGAATATAATCTATGATACCTATTACATGTGGGTCAAAAGCTGAAGTCCCTGGAGGAAATGCACGTTCAATAGGAGATCTGAATGTGGAATGCAGAGTTTGTGTTTGCCATTGGTCTAAGTGCTCATTTTTCCATGGATGCGTATTTTCAAGCAATACTTTCTCAGATATGGCATAAAATGCACCTCTTTCACTTACTTCTCCACTCCAGACACACGCCAACACCTTGCCCACAGGCAACTCTTTGCATGTTTGATGTACACATGTGAGTAGTCCTAGCAGAGCAAAGCAGGTCCTGCAGAATGGTGACTGCTCCTGCTCTGCTTCAGGGATCACTGAGGGGCTTCAGTGGCAGCAGCAGCAAACTTGAGGGCTCCCATGTCTGCAGCTTGTCATGATAGCACGTAATATAGTTAGCAATTCACTTGTTTTCTCCCTAATTTTTGCATGAGCTACCTAACTCAGGTTAAAGGACACCCTTTCACTCTACCCGCAATGACAGAAGACCTGTATGTTTGCCACTGGAACAAATAGGAGCTTATCTGACTTACAGGGACCCCAGTAACACAGAAGTAGCAGTGACACAGGCAGAGGTTATTGAGCAATGGGAGACCTAGTGTCCAAGGTTTACAGGCTGTGTAATCTATGACAAGTGGCATTTCCATATTTCTTGTCTCTTGTTTGTTTACATTTGTGCATGCTGAGTGAGTCTTGGAGGCTGTTACTGGAGTTAAGCAATCAGCTCAGCTGATCCTCTTGACGAACAGGAGGATCTTGTTTCTTGCCGCTCATGCATGGCCGCTTTCTTCAAGAAGCCATGTTTTGATCTTTTGGTTCATTGTTTGCACAAAATTAGGCTGGGATCTTACTGGCTTGCAGTCTTCAGAATGCTCTCTCTGACTGTACATTAATGTGAGGCTGCAGAGAGAGATTTCTCCTCATTTGGCCCTCTGGAGAAGTTGATGGGTCGATCATCTGTCAGTGTGTAAGCTTGTAGGAGGAGCAATCATGCCTCCCTCTTTATTTTGTAGACCACGTGTCCCCTCTGAGTGCCAAGCAAACAGCTTAAATGTTGTATCAACTGCTCTTGCTACTAAACTTTTACACGGTTGTTGAGGAAACAGAAACAGAAGGAGAAAATGGCAGAGTTTTTCACAGCACTCCCTGCTTAGGGAGAAAATGAAGGAGCAGACCAGCACGCTTTGCATGGGATTTATTGTTTTGTGATAAAATATTGCCAAGAACAATAGAAACACCTGCATGCTGGACTAGTGGCTCTCCATGGACTTTGTGTAAACACTCTGTCACGTCTGTTTTAGTGGGGAGGAAAGGTGCAGAGAGATAAGCACTTGTCCCAAGCCACTGAGGGAAGGAGGACACCATCCACCTCTCCTCAGCCCCAGCTGCATGCCTGGCCTGCCAGGGAGTCCCAGGGCTGAGAAAGTTGAATATTATCAAATTATTTAACAAAAAATAATGGCTAATGACCTACCCCCAGCCCTACTGCTCTTACGTGCTTATATTGTGACTCCAGCTGGGAGTTTGAGGAAAATCTGTCATCTGGGCCTTAAACAAAGAGTTATGCCTTCCTTCACCAGGGTCACAGAATCACAGAATGGCTTCAGTTAGGAGACACATTCAAAGACCATCTAGTCCACACCCTGCACCTGCCATGTGCAGGGATATCTTTCACTAGACCAGGTTGCTCAAAGCCTCATCCAACCTGGCCTTGAACATGTCTAGAGAGAGGGCTTCCCCAGCTTCTCTGGTCAATCTCTTCTAGACTCTCACCAACCTCACATGAAAGATGTAAAAGTCTCCCTCTGTCTTTTTCGTAAGACCGCTTTATATACTTAAAAACTACAATAAAGTTTAAAAACTGCAATAAGGTCTCTCCAGAGTCTTCTTTTCTCCAGGCTAAAAAAACTCAACTCAATCTTTCTTTGTAGGAGAGGTGCTCCAGCATCCTAAACATCTTTGTGGCCCTCCTCTGGACCTGCTCCAACAGGTCTATGTCCTTTTCTGATGACCTCAGAGCTGGACACAGTACTGCAGGTGGGGTCTCATGAGAGCAGAGCAGAGAGGCAGAATTACCTCCCTTGACCTGCTGGCTGCACTTCTTATGAGGCAACTCAGGATATGGCTGCCTTTCTCATCTGCAATTGTGTGTTGTCAGCTCATGTGTAATGTTTTCACCTGCTAGTATCCCTGAGTCTTTCTCTGCAGGACTGCTCTCCATCCATTCATCTCCCAGTCTGTACTGATACTGGAAATTGCCCAGCCCAGGTGCAGGACCTTGTTCTTGGCCTTATTGAACTTCATGAGATTCATGTTGGCTCACCTGTCAAGCCTGTTAACGTCCCTCTGGATGGTGTCCCTTCCTTCAAGTGTATCAACCACAACACTCAGCTTGGTGTCATGCACAAACTTGCTGAGCGTGCACTTGATCCCACTGTCTGTGTCTTTGATGAAGATACTGAAGGGTACTGGTTCCAAGCGACAGGACACCTCAGCACTTCATGGCCCTTCCAGCTGGAAGAAGAGCTCCATCTAGTGAGGCCTGTACTTCTTGGAGCCACTTCAGACACTGTCAGCCTGCCATATGCCAATTGTGGCATGTGCTGGAAGGAAAAAACAAAATCTGCCTGCAGACCCTGTTGCCATGGGGGTAGACAGCAGGTAAGGCCACCATCAGTTCAAGTTCACCTCAGCTCTGGCACATTCATGGCACAAGACCCTTGGTCATAGCCACCTTCCTCATGGACTGAGTAACAGGAAGGTTGAGGATCCTCAGTTTTGTTTGGGGTCCTGAGACAATCGCTTTACTGATGATGGTCCAAAAGCATTAAGTGAAGGGCATGGGATGGCAGGATCTCTAGGAGCATACCGTAACCAGAGCTGTTCCCAAAGGATCTTATTTGGTGACTTAGCCGCAGGGAACTAAACCTCCCGTTTTTCTGAGCAGTCATTGAGGAGAAAGGAGCTGGAGAGCAAAAGGCCTGGACCTATGGAAAGGGGGTCTGAAAGTACAGTGTGGCACACAAAGCAAAATGTTTTAAGAATCTTATTTTCTTTCTTTAATGCACTTGCCCAGATCACATTGCCCTGTTTGTCCCTGTCTGTATGCA